CTTCTATTTGTAAATTATTTTAACTTTTGTGTATTATGGAAGGTTTTTATTTTGTCAGAAAAATAATATCTATATCAAAATTCAATTGCTAATCAAAGTTTAATTTTGCTGGGTATGATTCTTGGTTGGCATCTGTTTCTTTCAGAGCTTGGTTGGCATCTATTACTTTCAGAGCAGGATCTTGTAGATTTGAGGGTCTTGGTTGAGAAATCAGAGATTCTAATTTGTTTCTCCCATATGTAATCTGATTCCTTTTTCTTGTGGCTTTTAAAATACTCTGCTTCTCCTGCATGCTAGGTATTTTCATTATGATGTGCGTTGGTGTTTAACTGTTGTGATTTTGTTCATTTGGTGTCCTGTATGCTGCTTGTATTTGATTTTCCAATTCACTCTACATGTTTAGACATGTTTCTGATATTATTTCATTGAATAGATTGTCCATTTTTGTAGTTTAGATGTCTATGCCTTCCTCTATTCCAATAGTTGTTAAATTCGGTCTTTTCTTGTTATCTCATTATTCTTGAATCTTCTGCTCCTGGTTTCTTACCATCTTCACTGGGGTCAATTTCATTTTTTCAAGATTACATATTTTGCCTTCAATGTCAGAGGTTCTGTCTTCCAAGTGATCTATTCTGTTGGAGATGCTGCCTATTCAGTTCTTAATTTGATTTACTGTTTCTTTCATTTCAAGGATATCTGTTTGTTTTTTCCGAATTTCTATCTTCTTATTGAAGGAATCTTTTGCTTTCTGTATTTGCTTATGTAGCTCTTTATCAAAATGATCCTCTGCTGCCTGTATTTGCTCTTATATCATCCTTTAATTCACAGAAAATTATGTACCTCCTCCACTCCTTCTCTGTTTTTTCTCCTGATGTTCTGACCATGAATTCTAATAATGTAGCATCTTTGTTTGTGGCACATTCTTCTTGGTTTTTCAAATTGTTCATGCATCTTCTCTTCCATCTCTGTTTTCAAGGTTTTACCATCTTTACCCTGTAGGCTTATAGTGTCCCCAATGGGTTCCAATAACTTTCTTTTTTAAAAAATTATTTATTTTTTAAATACATGATATAAGTGGAATGTATTACAATCTGTATTGCACACAGCACAATTTTTCATATCTCTGTATTAAAAAGTATGTTCATGCTAATTCATGCCATTATACATGTACTTATTTCTTTCTCCATTACAACTCTTATATAACACAATTTTTATATCTGTTTGTATATAAGGTATGTTGGCATCAAACTCAAATTTTCATACATGTGTTTTTGAATAATGATGTTGATAATATTTCACCATCCTTGCTAATCCCCTTCCCCATCCATTTTTTTTTCACCGTCTTCCCTATCTAGAATTAATCTAATCCTCTCATGTTCTCTCTCCTTACTCCACTGTGACACCCCACATATATCGGAGAAAATACTTAGCATTATTTTTTTTTGATTGGCTAAATTCACTTAGCATAATATTCTCCAACTCCATTCCTTTAATGTCAAATGCAATGTTTTTATTCATTTTTAATGCTAAGTAATATTCCATTGTGTATATATATCACACATTCTTTATCCATTCATCCACTGAGGGGCATCTAGGTTGGCTCCACAGTTTAGCTATTGTGAATTGTGCTGCTATAAACATTGATGTGGCTGTGTCCCTGTAGTATGCTGTTTTTAAGCCCATTGGGTATAGACTGAGGCGTGGAATAGCTTGGCCAAATGGTGGTTCCATTCCCAGATTTCCAAGGACTCTCCATACTGCTTTCCATATTGCCTGCACCAATTTGCATCCCCCCAGCAATGTGTCAATGTGCCTTCCCCCCGCCACATCCTTGCCGACACTTATTGTATATATGCATAAATGCTGCAATTCTGGCTGGAGTGAGATGAAATCTTAGCTTTGATTTGCATTTCTCTAATTGCTGTGTTGAACATATATATTTGTTGCTCATTTGTATATCATATTCTGAGAAATGCTTATTGAGTTCCTTGGTCCATTTATCCATTGGGTTATATGGTTGTGTGTGTGTGTTTGTGTGTGTTTGTGTGTGTGTGTGTGTGTTTTGTTTGTTTGTTTGTTTTAATGTCAAGATTGAGTTCTTCATATACCCTAGAGATGAAGGCTATATCTGACATGTGAATGGTAAGAATTTGCTCACAGGATGTAGGATGTCTCTTCACCTCACTGCTTGTATCTGTTGCTGAAAAGCTGTTTAGTTTTGATCTGTCCACTTATTGATTCATGGTTTTAATTCTTATGCTATAATAGTCTTATTAAGGATGTCGGGGCCTAATTGAACATGATGAAGATTTGGACCTATATTTTCTTCTCTTAGGTGTATGGTCTCTGGTTTAAATCCTAGGTCCTTGATCCACTTTGATTTGAGTTTTGTGCAGGATAAAAGAGAGGGTCTTAAATTCATTTTGCAGCATATGGATTTGCACTTTCCCTAGTACCATTTGTTGAAAAGGCTATTTTTCCTCAAATATGTTTTGGGTAACTTGGTCTAGTATGATATGTCTGTATTTATGTGGGTTATTCTCTGTGTTCTCTATTTTATACCATTGGTTTACTTGTCTATTTTGGTGCCAGTACCACACTGTTTTGTTACTATTCCTCTCAAGTATAGTTTAAGGTGTGGTATAGTGATGCCACCTTCCTCTCTTTTCTAAGGATTGCTTTGCCTCTTCTGGGTCTCTTTGTTTTTCTAGGATTGATTTTTATTTATTTTTCTATTTTCATTAGGAATGTCTTGGGATTTTGACTGAAATTGCATTAAATCTGTACATGTTGTACTTTTCATTGTACAAGGCTTTCACCTCTTTTGTTAAATTAATTTAATCGCTTTTAATTCTCATTACCTTATTTTTTTTCTTTCATTATTTTCCCCCAATATTCTCCTTCATCTATTTTATTAATCTATTTATTCATTTATGTTTGATGCTTTCTCTATATACAGGAATGTGGAATTCATAGTGGTATATGTGTATTACATTTGATATTCTCATTTCCTGTCACTCCCAACCAATCTCCATATACTCCACTAATCTTCCCTATATATTTATGATATCCAACTCTTCTTTCCCTTTGCTTTGCTGTAGTTGCTGCATGTGAAAGAAAACATTTGACCCTTGATCAGTCTGATTTATTTCACATAGCATGATGTTAATTTATTTCCATTTAAATTGTGACATTCGTCAATAATATTATTTATAGCTGACTAAAAACTCTATTTTGTGTATCACATTTTATTACTCAATTCATCTATTAGGAACTGTGTCCATAATGGGAAGTGCTTTCATAATTTGGCTATGGTGAATTGGGATGCTGGGAAAAAATGTGGCTCTATCTAAATAAACTATTAATTAAAATTACAGATAGCCAATATTCATGGCTACTCGGACATGCTTTTCTGACACAAATATGTCAGGCATAAGAAAACAATCCACTGTTGATCATTATATATAGGCAGTAGCATATCAAATAATTGTTTCTCATTATGGAAATAGTGTTATTTATTGGGCAAATATCGCTTGCATTTTTGTTTGCCTTTTGAAATCTTTTATTATTTTATAATTATTATTTTTGCTATGGTTTTGACATTTTTCTTGTTCCTCTTAAAAAAACTTTTTTTCTTCTGGCAAAATATAATTAAAATCTAATTTACAATTTTAAGGTTACAATCCCATAACTTATATAGCAGTCACAATGTTGCAAAATGATCACCAGTGTTTAGTTTCTGATATTTTTATACATAAAAAATCAGTTCCTTCTAACACCTATTTACATTCTCCCAAAGAATTATTTTTGATTTTTGCACCCCTTGTCATTTTTAAATCTGTTTTCTTACATTTTTAGATTTGTGTAAATTTTAATACTGGTTTGTTCACTAGACAGCAACCTTTAGAAAGATAAAAGGCAAAACAATTTGTTCCTTATGGCTTTGACTTTTAAGAATGTACTGATACATAGGCTCATCCAGGGCAGGGCTATCAGTCTAGATTCCCTAAGGGGGCAGTTTGTACATTTCAGCTACAGTTCTTGGAACCATGGTGTTTGAATAGATGGAATAATTTGTGGAACTTATGAGTTCCAAAGTAAAAAAGGTTGGGCACTAAGGAGAAACAAAGAAAAGTAAAAAATAAAATTTTAAATAAAAATTATGCTTAAGGTACATGAGGCTCATGATTAATTGTTTTAACTTAATGACATTAGAAATTAATGTGGATTGGTAAAAATATTTCAAGTAGAAGTTTTCAGACATTGAAGTTTCTACTACATATAGGAGACACAGAAACCCACTAAATTCTGTGGCTTTCCAAGAAAATGACTGAAATATCTATCAAATGTCACTACGTTATCATGGCCTTGGTGGAAACTATTACATTTGTTTTTGTGCTGCTGTAATAGAACCCAAGGTCTTGCACAAGTTGTAAAAATTCTGCAAAACTTAACTACAACCATAACTCCATAAAATATTATTTTGTAAATATCTCTAAGTGAAAACCTTACAAGTTATTCTGTATTTATGCATACATTATATACAATGAGTCATTAATGAAAGAATTATAATAAAGATTTCTTAAGATATATGCTTAAACTATGTAATTCTGTATTTTATATATCAATAATTATAAATCTAAGTATGTACATATACAGAAGTCTATAGAAAACACATGTAGATAGATACACAAATCTCATCTTCATGGATCTGTATATATTATAGTTTTTAATTATATTATTCTTATATTGCTCCTTATGAGTTTTTAATATCATTATATGTGATAGTGCCATTTTGAAACTCATTGTTTTCGTGAATAGTGTTTTTTTAAAACATTATTTAGTTATCAATGGACCTTTATTTGTTATTAGTTTATATGTGGTGCTGAAGATCAAACCCAATGCCCCATACATATATATATATATATACACAAAACACACACACACAGACATTAAAAAGTAAAAATGCATATGCCAATTGAAATTCATCATGAAATATATATCATCCACAGATCCAAAAATATTTATTTGACTGAACATGGATTTATGTATCATGTTGTTCAAGTAGGAAGCTCACCCATAGGTTGATTTTCAGTTCCAACAGCATTTAGGAGGAGTGATCTCTTCTCACAATTTGTATCTGCCAAGTCAGCCACCTCACAAGAATGTAGCTGGGAAACCAGGTAGGATTCTATATGTGCATGTAAAAATACATGTGCTGAACAGGCTACAAAAAAAGGGAGACAAAAATTCACATATTTGTTAGCTTTATAAACACATGGAGAACTATTACATTGGACTAGATTCATAATACCTACCCTTTATAATGCAAAAGGCCTGTCCAACTACACACCATGCCTCCTCTGAACTGCTTGTATTTCTATTCTGTTTGGGTTATTTTTCTCCATCATATTAGGATTCGTAGTCAGAGTCTAGTAGGGTATGTGCTAGTGTCAGGGATTCAGTATTTGGAATGGAAAATAGGAAAATGAATCCAATGTGTATGCAAATATGTGCTACACAAAAATCTTCCCACTGTCATCCAGAACAATTCCTTGATATTACCCTCGCCCCAAGTAAGACACAATTGGAGGAGAAGAGTTAGAAAATCTTTGAATACATATGTGGAATGAAAAATGCTCAGGAGCTCACAACTTTGGTGGTGGTAGAGGAGATTCCATAAGTAAAAAACAGGATAAACCCTCCACAAACATGGAGCTCTCCTGGCCTAAAGACTTCTTGAGAAACTGCCTCTGAGGTTGGGCTCTTGAAGTATATGTTGTCTTCTGTAGCTTTAGCTTTTTTTGTAGTGAGACCATCAAAGCTGGGTCTGCATCTATGTGACCTAGAGGACATGGTTTCTGATTTTCCAATGAACATGAGGCAGAAGTGCTGAATTCTCTCTTTGTAGGTAAACTGTGGCCACTGGGGTCTAAGTGTCTCCCTGTGGGGACTGTGAAGCCATTTGGTCATCCTGCACTTCTCGTGGTGTTTCTTGCTGCTGCACTGGGAGATTGGTATTTTTTTCACAAAATACAAGGAGTTCAACTGGGACACAGTGCTGGAGGGAGCACTGTAACGGGTGGTGGGTCAGGGTTCTAGGAGAATGCACCAACCAGGCTTCTATCCCACAGAGCTTGCCCCCTTTACCATAGCAACCTGATTCTGAACATTGCCCTGAAAACTCTCCATATAACAAGATGCTTGTACATATAAGGATCTGCTGGCTGCACCATGTCACTCACGAGCCATTTGGAAGCCCATGGCAGATTCACATGGAACCACCACAGTTGTTTTATCACACTCCTGCACACCACTGCTCTAGGCCCACTATTCAGCAGGCACCACCTTACTGGCATCTCTTTTCTACATCATTTTCATACCACCCAGTCAATCAAGGCACCTGTCTGGTACACTCATGATCAACAACAGGACATCCAAAGGTGCTCCAGTGCCACCTGGTCATGGGAATTTCAAAGATTGCATGGTATTTATCTAGCCATTTTTAAAGGATGAAGTTGGAGGCACTGTGGGTTTCCATTCATTCAGGAACCATTAAATAATGAGGAAGATCATTTCAATGAAAGCTCTGGAGAACTCTCACAAGCAAGGCTTCCCAAAGAGTGAGCAAAACGTCACATGAAACAAGGCCCACTTAGGTCTACAATTTTAGGTCCATGTGTGTTTTGACTCTCAACTATGGCTGCCAGGTCTTTAAGAATAAAATCAAGTTATATCCTGGCTGAGATTCTCAGTGTTCTGTGGAAAGTCACCCTGGGCTTCGATCTCAGTTTGCAAGGGTGACTCTCATGCGTGGCCTCGGACAATCCCAACACAATTCATGGCAATACTTCTCCGAGGTCATTTCCAGAACTCAGTCTCCAAGGGGAATCACACCAGAATTCAAGCCCAGGAGGACCCAGTCATCTCTTCCACAGCCACACAAATGACCACAATTCAAACCAAAACACTGCCACAAGGCCCTCATCTTCTTTTATATAGACAATCATCATAACCTCTTGCTGGAGGTTTCCATGAGGGGCGCAGCCTAAGACAGTGTCCACAATAAGCTCCCTTGCCCCTCATTTGCCTAATATCAGGGTGGCCTGGAAACTCTTCCTTTGAACCAGGAGTGATCAAATAGGCCTGCCTTTAATACTGCTCAGCTTCTCCACTTTGAGGCCTGCTGATGGTGGGGTATAGATTCTTTGTGTGAATTGGAGTCATCAGAAAACCCGAGCACATAATGACTAGCCTCTGCAGGGCTTTGAAGAACTCATTTGACAAAAGGATCTCTATTCTCACTTGATGGAGGTCAGGAACCTTACAGAGGAAGGTGAAAGACTTCATGCACAATGACTGCTTTTTTTCCATATTAGCTTTTGATGCACATATGGGATCTTTCTTGAGATCCATCAGGTGCTGACAGTCAAAGACACAGCCTCACAAAGGGCAAAGAGGCTGATTTAGAAACATCCCTTTGCAAACCAATTAAGCAAAGAGCCACAGGTGATGCCCATTCGTTTGAGTTTGAAAAATGTTTTCTTCAGGCTTCAAAAAGGGGTGCCCTGAAGCAAAGACCTTGCTGACATCCAGGAAAACAGAACAATAGGTAAGCAAAAGGCCCAAAGAAGGGTTTATCCACTGAGACTTTACGGGGCCCACTGATATCTGAGTTTTCTGAGATGCTCGCCATTCTTTTCAGCTTTCCAGTACATGGCCATGTCACCAAGCTTGGAGGTGGTACATATCTTGGACACAAAACCATGAGCCTATTCTGGAGAGTGGCCAGAATTCAGGAAGAAAGCAGGAATTTAGGAAGACAGTAGTTGTTTCCCATGGATAAGGCAAGCTGCAGTCCATTCATAAATTGGGCAGGATGAATGCTAGAAGATTTCTACTAGACAGGACACATCCATTGATGCATTCTTTTTTTTTTAATGTCTACAACCACGGACACAGTGGAATACACAGTCATAGCAACACTCACCTTGTCAAAAGACTTACTAGTAACAGTCCACTCCAAAGCAAACAAACTGACTTTTCTAGCTCTTCTCAGAACATGAGACAAAACCACAAACTCACACCCAAATCCACAAAGCCACCTCTTTCCCCCAAAAAGGTTTGTGACTACCCGCAGTGTCCTCTGACTGGTGGGCCATACTATGTTCCCCCGAAATGGACTGTCCTGTTTCAGATTTGGCCTCTGTGGCAAATTCTGTGAAGTTTTCAGGAGCCAGGGGTGAGCCACTACCTGCTTTCCCAGGAAAGACCTTCTTCAGAGCTTTCCTGGAAATTGGCCATCCTCACATCTGTAGGTACCAAGAAAGACTGACTCTGTTTTTGGTAAATCCA